ATATATTAACATCCTTCATATCAGTTTTTTATCGTTTGTATTATTCATGTAACTCCAAAATATCAAGATGATGATGCTTAATAACTTCGCTTCAATAAAAAAGACGAAAATCATTCGCATTTTGAGAAAAGTAGCGTAAAACATTATTCGTTAAGAAAAAAACTGCCATTTTTCATTCGTTGTTTATAATAGATAATTTCATTTAATAGAAAATTCATATCAATAACAACTCTTGTAACAAAATGCATTATTGATATATAGTAAATCTGGAATAAAAGAACCATTTTTTAGTCTTTCTATGCGAGTCTGTAAATTCGGGGTCTATGTTTTATACATTCTTAAAAATAGTATATCTAGGGAAGGAAACGTTTTCAGCATATAGTTGATAGATATTTTTTGTTCCGCTTGACAAGTTCTTTCGTATAACATAGATTTTTTAAATTTACGATAATTTTTTTTTTTGTTGACTGTCTTAAGTTTTTTTTATATATATATTTATATATTTTTCGTCAATAAACAATCATTTTACAATATTTTTTGTAAAAATTAAAAATTAAATCTTTATATTCTGACAGGAACAAGTAGAAGACACTGCGTCTTATCACCCTGCTCCTAAGTTCGTAAAAATATCAAATAAGATTTACGTATTAAGTTCCTAAAATATACGTTGTATAAGTTTTATACATATTACAAGTTTTGTACATACTATAACATATTACAGCTCATAAAATATATAAGTTATAAGATGCATATATACGTGTTAACAAATCGATATATAAATATTTTTAAAAATATAAAAGAATGTTTTTATTATTTAAATCTAATAAGTATCGTTTAACTGCTCTTTTAAATAGTTCAATTGAAGTCATGTTTTTCATGTCTCTATTAAGGAATTAGTTCCACAAACGTGGTCCTCGACATGTAATTGAGAAGTCTGTTTTACTAAGGGATGTTGTAGGGATGAGAAAGTTGCCAATGGAATGTCTTGTAGAGTATTTATGATTAATTAAGGTAAAATGCGGTTGAAAATATGTTGGAAGCATGTTGTTATGAATTTTAAACATGAATAACAGATTTTGATAGATGTTTAGTTTATAAATATTTAAACCATTAATTTTTTTAAGTAAAGGCTCGGCGCATGCATATCTACCTGCATTCAAAATTAACCGGCTCGCTTGCTTTTGTTTGGTATTAATTTTTTTTAAAGAAGTTGAATAATTACTTGCCCACACTATATTGCAATAGCTAATGTGATTATGAATAAATGAAAAATACAAGCTTTTTAAGCACATTATATTCAAAAGGTGCTTCGTTTTTAAAAGGATCCCAAGTGCTTTTGAAATGCTGTTTTCCACTAATTGGATTTGATTTTTCCAGTTTAAATGATCATCAAATATTATACCTAGGATTTTCATTGAATGAACTCTTTTTACTTTAATGTTGTTTATAAATAAATCAGGAAGTTTTAGGGGTATGTTATCAGTTTTCGAAGGTTTCGTGAACAGAATGTATTTAGTTTTATCGAAGTTTACGGACAGTTTATTGGCTTTAAACCATTTATTGAGATTAATTAGCTCTGTGTTTACAGTAGAAAAAACAAATTTTAAATTAAACCCCGAAAAAAAAAATTAGTATCATCAGCAAAAAGAACAAAATTAAGGAATTCAGAAGATAAGTGGATGTCATTGATATATAAGAGAAACAGCAGAGGACCAAGTATTGAGCCCTGAGGGACACCGCAACTAATAACTTCTAACTGCGTATAAGTTAAATCATACGTCACACATTGTTTACGATTTTGTAGATAAGACTCGATCCATTTTAGATTAGTATTTTGAGTTCCATAATTTTTTAATTTATAGAGAAGGATTTCGTAGTCGACAGTGTCGAACGCCTTCGATAAATCAACAAAAACTCCAAGTGTATAATTATTGTCATCAAATCCTTTCAAAATATTGCTAGCCAAATCCATCACAGCATGCTCAGTGCAATGATTTCTCCGAAATCCAAACTGTTTAGGATATAAAATATTGTTTTTATCAATGAAGTTATATATTCTATTATACATAATACGTTCGAGAACCTTTGAAAAACAGGAGAGAATTGAGATGGGTCTGTAATTTGATTCTAAAGAATCGTCGCCGTTTTTATATATTGGAATTATTTTAGCAAGTTTTAATTGATCAGGATAGTCCCCATTTTTTAATGAAAGTTTAAAAATAATGAAAAGAGGCAATTCGATAATGTCAAAGACACTTTTCAAAACATTTGCATTAATTTCATCAAGACCTGCACTTTTATTTGTCTGAAGCATGTCAAAAGCTGAACGAAGTTCATCAATGGAAAGTTACGAATTATCCATAATAAAATCTGATTTTTTCAAAAAAGAATGGAATGTTTTGCTACTTGGAGAGATTTCTTTGGCTAAATTTTTCCCAACATTTATAAAAAAATTATTCAGTCTCTCAACAATTGTTTTTTTATTAAAAATTTCACCTTTATCGGTTTTCAGTCAATTAGGGAAGTTGCTTTTTTTCCCTATTATATCTTTAATTATAGTCCAAGTTTTTTTAGCATTTCCAAATGATTTCTGAAGTAGACCAGAATAGAAGTTTTTTTTAGATTACTTTTTTATTTTTTCGAAATAGTTTTTGTATTTTTTATATTTAGTTTCGTTTTCATAGCTTTTGTTTTTTAAAAATTTTTCGTAAAGCTTTTTTTTTTTTTTTTTGATGAAAAAAAAAATAAAAAAAGCTTTACGAAAATTTTTTTCGGGGTATGCAAACTTTTGGATTTTATATTTTTTCAAACTTTAGGAAAAGCTTTATCATATTGCCTTGTAAAGACGCGAATAAAAAAATCGTATGCGCTACATGTGTCATTGCAATCATTCAAAAGCTCCCAATTGATTTCACGCAAAAGCTGTCTAAAAACTGTAATCGAGTCTTTGTTTACATGCCTTATGTATACTGTTATGGGTTTTTTATTTATACAGCATTTAGTATTTGTTGTTTAAAAAACAGGAAAATGATCACTAATATCCGTTTTTATTATACCACTGTTGATTGTCGAGTTACTATAATTATTAGTGATAATATTGTCAATAATAGATGTTTTTCGAGTTACACGCGTAGGCTTGTTAATCATGGGGTAAGCACTAAATTGAGAAAGAGTATTTATAAAATTTTTTTACGTGGTTATTAGTGTTTAAATTTATCAAGTTTAAATTAAAGTCTCCGAGTAAATATAAATGTTTTTTAGAGGTTTTAATTAATATTCGCCTTAAGTCATTTTCAAAATGATTATAACTGCCATTGGGTGGTCGATATAAAACTGTTATAAACGAATTTTTTTCTTTTTGGTTTATTATCTCTATAGTTAATGATTCGCAATTCGAGTTATTCACACTTAGGCTATCTACTTTTTTATACGTCAACGAGTTGTGAATAAATATGCATACGCCTCCGCCAATACCGTTTTTTCTCGGTTGGTGAACAGAATTGTAATCTGTTAAATGCAAATTAGAGTTACTCATATCTTCACTCTGACACCAGGCTTCAGTAAGACAGATTATACTGAATTTAAAACTTATATTATTTAGCATTAATTTTAGATTTTCAAAGTTTTTGCTCATGCTTCTAATATTTATATTTAGTAATGACATGTAATGTAGTGATTTATTTAAAATACTTGTAACCTTATGAACTTTAAATTAGTTAGTTTCTAAGGAATAATTGTCAAGAATGTTTACGTTAGGATCAATGTTTTTTGAAAAGTAACATACGTTTTCACCAGAAAATGTATTAAAAAAATTATAATTATTTCCGCCATTTAAAAAGACAGGAAAAAGATAAAGAAAAAATAAATAAATGGAAAGTTAAATAAATAAAAAATGCATTATTTTTACTTTGGAACTTTGATTGAGTATTTTACCGCGTTTTTTAAATGAATAATTTTGTCATACCTCACTGCAAGGTTTCTCCCTTTAGACGTCGTTCTTTAACTTCTGCAAACAACTTTTTTCTGATATCAACTGTCATTTTGGAATAATCTTCATTGACATATATATTCGAGCCTTTCAATCTATTCGTTTCTTTCAATATTTTGATTTTATCTTTATAACTTTTTAACTTCATCACGATTGATCTTGTACGATTATTTTTTTTAATCCAAGTACGATGTGCACGTTCAATGTCAATTCCCAACAAACCTAGATTTTTCTCAAGAAATATTTTTACTTCCGTTTGTGTCCAAGTTTCATTGTCATTTTCCGGTTACCCATCAATTCTCAAGTTATCTCTTCTTGTTCTATCTTCAATATTTCTTTGTTGATTTTTTAAGAGTTGTAAACAAGTTAATTCCTTTTCAAAGCTGTTGCGGCAAGCCTCGACTTTTTGATCAATAAGGTTTTCTTGAAAATTTAAACTTAATTTAACATCTGCTACATCTTTCTCGAGTATTTTACTTATGTTTTCATTTAAAATATTTTCAATTTTATCCAGTCGCTTGTTAATTATTTTCGTATTTCCGCTTATAATATCTAAAACGTTTTTTTCTTGTTGTTTGAGTTATGCTTCCGTTTGATTTTGCATTTCTTTCTTGAATTCCATGAACATTTCTTTTAACATTTTTTTAATTTCTGATAATGTTGCCATGATATATAAAAATCGAGTTCAAACAAAATATCTATACTTATACATAATACAAAAAAAAAAAAAAAAAAAAATGTAAGTTTATATTTATATTTCTTCGTGTTTGCAAATTAAGAAAGATTTATGTAAGCTGTTAAAAACACATCTGTTTACTACGCAAGCTGAGTTGCAAAAAAATTTGATGTCATGGGTCCCGGCCCCAAAAATAAAAATTTTTGGCACCCATTTTTGTCTTTTTAGTTTTAACCTAAAGAACAAGTTAAAAGCAAAAAATTGCTTTTAACACGCCTGTGCATACGAAAGTCTTAATCTTAACATAGCAGCCCTCACTAAATCACGAGAAACTGGTGAAAATTTTGTATTATTAAACAAGATAAAACATTTTACTACATATTGTCCAAGGACAAAAAAAAGTTATTTCACAGAATATTCTGCTGCGACGTATTTCACATTTCACGGAATATTCAACTGCGACGTATTCATTTTACGGAATATTCTGCTGCAACGTATTCATTTTTTAAATGATCAGATGGGTTAGCTTTAGCCTCATAGTTACATATTGTTACACCGTGTTTGTGGGATTCCATATAGTCACCTTTTAATCCAATATAATATATTTTAGTTGTATTTTCTCCAAAATTTGAGGAGAAATAAATACTTAAATGTTCCACATTAGAAAATCGTGCAACTTTTGTATGATACTCAATATTTCCTTCATGATCTGGTACAATATTAAAAATTTGATCTGGTTCACATAACGTATCATCAAATGTCATATACGGTCGATTCTTGAAAAGTTTCATTTGAGAAGGATGAAAGTTGTCTTCACCACCAATTACTAATAAACTTTTTAACTTTATACTTCCAGTAAATCTGTGTAAAATTTATAAATGAAATAAAATTAAAGTGAATAAAAACTTTCTAAAAAAGAAATAAGTAAAAAACATTGTAATACATTTAACAAAAAAAAAAAACACTTAAAAATGCAGTTTTTAACAAAACCACAATTCGAATATTTGAATCTTGAGTTTAAATTATAAAAAAAAATTCTTTCTTTTACTTTATTTAAGCAAATACACAAATATTCGAATTACTTTAATAACACGATTTACAACGATTACAAAAACTTACTATATGTATATGTAACCTGCAAATATTTACTATAAATATATAACCTTCCTACATGTAGATTTACATATATATACCTATGTATATATATATGAATACAATCCTTGAATTAGGATCGGCATTCGGCAATGCCGACTAGAAGTTTAAGCTAGAAGTCGGCAGAAAATCGCCGACCTTGTTTCTATGTTTTATGGTCAAACCCTTGTTTTACCTTTTTGCCGACCTGATGCCGACCTCACACAGAATAAGGTCAGCAAATTATTGCCGACCTTTTTTTTCCTAATTCCGAGGGCTGATGTATATGTATATGTTGAAAGATTTACAATTAAGAAATTTTCCCATGAGAACAATGATTTATAATAGTTAAAACACATTACATTAATGTTTTCAAAACTTAAATTTATAAGGAAATTTCTAATGAATTTTTGAGAATATTTCTGCTGTTCTTTGTTGTTTTACTCAAGGAGTTTTTCTTTATCATACTAATATTTTTGTTTTTGCCTGGAAAAATCTATAATATTCTTTATGTTAATCTAGAGAAATCTAAAATATTCTTTATGTTAATATAGAAAAATCTATAATATTCTTTATGCTAATATAGAAAAATCTCTAATATTCTTTGTGTTAAGTAAAAACTAAAATATTCTTTATGTTAATCTATAATAAATTATAATATATATTATATGTTAATCAGAAAAATCTATAATATTCTTTATGTTAATCTAGAACAATCTATAATATTCTTTATGTTAATCTAAAACAATCTATAATATTCTTTATGTTAATATAGAAAAATCTATAATATTCTTTGTGTTAATCTAGAAAAATCTATAATATTTTTTATGTTAATCTAGAACAATCTATAATATTCTTTATGTTAATCTAGAGAAATCTATAATATTCTTTGTGTTAATCAAGTAAAAACTATAATATTCTTTATGTTAATATAGAAAAATCTAAAATATTTTTTAGTTTATCTAGAAAACTCTGTAATATTCTTTAAATAATCTAGAAAAATCATATTCCTAATGCTAATGTAAAAAATCTAAAATACTTTTTATTTAATCTGTAATATTTTTTATGTAAATTATATATATTGTATAATTTATATAAAAAAAAATTATTTGTAAAACTTACGGAATATTAAAAAGGAGTTCTTCATCGCAGTCACTCTCAACAAACTACATTAATAAAAATTATTAAACATTAAATGTATTCCTGCTACAAAACATTATGATAAGAAATTAGTAGTTAAAAAAAAACTTTTGTATCAATGGAATCTTAAAGAATCTTAAAAAAATTGATGTATGAGGAATATTGGCAACAATAAAAGACATAAATGATCATTATAATAATTATCATCAATAAAATAATGATCACCAAAAAATAAAAAATTAAAATTTAAACTTAGGATAATAAAGAACACAAACACTTCTCCAATGGGTCACACTTAATAAAAAAAACAACACAACTTTAAAACTTTTTACACTTTTGACTTTAGGGAGTAATTTCATGTAAAAGTGTTAAACTTTAACCAGTGCACAGTGATTAGGAATAACTTAAAATTAGGCCAAAAATAATTTTTTAGAAAGTATTAATTCAAAATTGATATAAAAAAGGTAAACAACAAAAGAAGACTATAAATCTTTAAAAAAGGATAATTTATAGTCGGGGGTGTGGGCTAAGGGGGTTGTAAGAATTTTTTTTGTAAAAAAAAATGTAATCAAAAAGGAAATTTTGAAGTAACTCATTTCTATCAATCTAAAGTCTGTCCTCAATAACTAAACAAAGTTGATGTTTAGTAAACTTTATATTCATTTTATACTAAAATGAAAAAAAAAAAACGATATTAACTTTTGCATATATATATATATATATATATATATATATATATTCACATTTAAAGTTTTGTTCAAAAATATCAGAAAAAACTTTCAAAACATAAAAGTTAAAGGTAATTTATGTCGTATTAGCTTTTTCGTCGCTAATTTTTTTTATAAAATTAGCTTTTTAAAACCACATTATTTCAAAATGGGGCAAGTTGGGGCAGCTAACTTTTTTAGTTTCTTATAGAATGGAACAAACTCTCTTTAAAAAAAAAATTAGCTTCGTGAAGGAAGTCTAAGGTAAAAAGTCCTAGCTCTATAAAATTATCAGTTTAAACTCGTTAAAATTGCATTTTTTAAATGCATTTCTTACAAGATGTACAAACACATTATTATAATATTTTCATAAATTAAGATCAAATCATCTATTATCTTTGTATATAATAAAAATTTAAATAAACAGTTTTGTATTTAAATAAGCGGTTTTTAGAAAATAAAGCAACTCTTAATATTTGAGAATAATTCTTTAATTCTTAATTATTAAGTCAAATTCTTTGTTTCATAACCATGAGTTACATTTCACTTATTTCTGGAGTTGCCTTATATGTGAAATAAGAGATCTTAGAAGGGTTTAGGTCTCTGAAAAAAAATATAAAAAAATTATATTGCTTTGTGTAACTTGCATATTTATAATCAATTTTTTCAAAAGTATACATGGAAATATAATAGCTAAAAAATCTACAATATGCGGCCGTGATGCAGTGGATAGAGCGCTTGCTTTAGAAGCAGAAGATCTAGGTTAAAAACGAACTCTGGGCATATTTTCGCATCACGGTAAGGAAGGAGGCGTGAACTTCCTAATTAAATGCACTTCGGCGGTGCTGTGACAAGATTGTTAGGGTCTTCTTGGGGCAATTTAACAACAAAACAAATAAAGAATTTTTTTAATAAGCTTAAAAATGACATATCTAAATTATTCTTCAAGAAACCACAACCATCTTTTTTATAAAGATCAAAAAAAATTGAAACCATGAAAGTTAGGCAATTCTGAGAGTTAATGAAAGCGCAACCCATGGTAACAGAACAAAAAGTTTGACAGACCATTTTAAAATCAAAAAATAACCATCAAAAAATTAAATTTCTATATTTTCTCTAAATTTTTGAATTAAGCTCCCTAAATTAATCAGGTACCAATTTTTAGCCACATTCTTCCACTAGATCTTAAGTTATTAATTAAGAAGTACATTTACAAAAACCATAATGGTGGATGTGGAAAAAATAGGGCATTTTAGGTTGAATTTTAAAATGTCATAACTTTGAACAGCTTGGATTTGGGAGCTCAAACTTTACATCTTTTTATGTTACATTGATAGGTACTGGTTGAAATTTGAAAGAAATCTTAGGTGACTGAAAAATTTCAATTTTTTGTCCTACTTTTACATGGAATTACCCTGGTCAATATTTGGGCCAAACAAATTCTTAAACCAAATGAAGCTTGAAATAACAAAGTTAAATTAAAAGAATTACATTAACATATTGTATAACAGTATATCAACATGACAGTGTACTTATATAGAAAACTTTTTAGTGGATTCAAAAATTGAAAGTTAATTTTTCAGAAAGAAATTTTTTTCTTCTTTTTCTAAAAAAGCCGTATGGGTTAAGATAAGCAAAAAAAGTGAGCAAATGCTTATAAAAATATGCTTTAGTAAGTGTATATATATCAGGGTGGAAAATAAGAAATCAAAGGTGAGCGGTCAAATTGACCAGCTAACACATAAAACTGACGGTAAAATTTTTTTTTTTCTTTGTTAAAATTCTTATTTCAGTAATTATTCTTCATGACATGTAAATAAAATAAGAAGAAAAAAAAAGTAATTTGTTAAATGCATTTTGCAACAAAAAATTGAGAAAAATAAATAAAAAGATATAGAGAGAGCAAAAATAAATTTAGTGCTTAGCTAAAATCATCAATTATTGTATATTATATTATTATTAAAATAATAATAAAATAAGAACTTAAATCAGTTAAGGAAAAAAACACTCAATAAAATTGAGTGTTTTTTTCCTTTAAGTTTACGCCATATATAATACTCGTCGAAGCATTAGCGAGTATTAATAAACGATGACGAATTTCACGTTGCAGCGATGCGAATTTTAATTCGCTTCGTTCCAACGAAGTGAATAAAAGCAATTTTATTATTTCTACTTTAAAAAGTAGCATATAAGCAATAAAATTGTTTTAGATGCTTTATCAAAGTTTTACGGTGTTATGAAATCTAAAAAATTTAAAATTGGGTTTAACAAAAGATTTTTCTAACTCTGATTTTTCAACCGGTCAACCTTGACCGGCTAGAATTCTTTTTGGGAGGTCAAAACAGCAATTTCAGTCATTTCGAGCGGTCATTGACCGTTGACTGCCTGTTATTTTCCACGCTGATATATATATATATATATATATATATATATATATCAGCGTGTTGAATTTTATTGTTTTTTTTTTAATATTATTTAGCATAATAAACAATATTTGTATTTATATATATTTGTATTAGTTTAAATAACATTTGTATATATATATATATATATATATATATATATATATATATATATATATATATTATTAAATATGTATTTTGATAAAGTGCAAGTAATATATATATATATATATATATATATATATATATATATATATATATATATATATATATATATATATATATATATATATATATATATATATATACCATGCTGGCCATAATGATAGAATATTGAAAAAAAAAGTGATCTTTCCGGTTATCACGTGCCAAACACATGATCAACGCATGATATAATGATTAAATTCATTATGTAAATAGTAACAGCCAATCAAAATCATTGTTAGAGGTTGAAATTATTCTTTAATATTACTTTGCAAGTGTAAATTGTTTAGTTTATCACTTAGTTAGAAATGGTTAAACGTTGTAATATTTCCAGTGAATGTGCTGCCCAAATCATTGCTTTATTAAGCAAAGGCATAAAACAAAGTGCAATTTTTGATAAATTGAACCTCAGTCAATCTTCTGTATCAAAAGTGGTGATATCATGAAACTGGTTTATTTTCCTATAGGAAGTCTCCTGGAGCCCCACGCTGCACCTCCAAGCAAACGGACCGAATGATAAAAAGGATGGTGTAGTTCCCACGTGTAGTTCTGCCAAAATCAAGTCAAGATTACATCCTGAGGTGTCAGTTAGTAGCAGGACCATCTGCCGTTAACTTTAGGTTGATTACAAACTCTGTGCTTACCAACCAGCTACTCAGCCTCGTCTCTCACAAAAGAACATAAAAGACAGAGTCACCTTCGCAAAAAAAGACAAGGACTGCACACCAGTGGAGCCATGTGATGTTCACTGATGAATCCCTCATTAAACAGTTCTACGCATTCAGCAGCAATCTTTGCCGTCCCATTGGAGAACGATATAACCAACGCTACACCACCCCTAGGGTCAAACAATCTCTGTCAGTGATGATCTGGGGTGGCATTACAGGAAGAGGAACATGTGGCCTCTGATTCCTCCCACAAGGAAATACAATCAATGCAAATGCCTACCTCTCAATCTTGAAAGAAAAGGTGCCATTCTTCATGGAGTTGCACAATTGCACACACTTTCAACATGGTGGAGCTCCGTGTCATACGGCACAGACTGTCAAGACTTGGATCAATGTTCAAGGCATCAGCTGCATCGACCCGTGGCCCGGAAGTTCTCCAGATCTCAATCCGATTGAGGATTGAGATCTGGAGAACTGCAATGTTACTGTTACCCACAATCCGATTGCGGGTAACAGTAACATATATACTATATAGCAATCTTTCCTTTTATTACACGATGTTGCTTAAAAGTACAATTGAAAATAATAATAAACTGATACCTTTTAAAAAACTTACTAAACAACATATTAAATTAGGCAAAATTAATTGGCAAAACTATGAATGTCAAATGACATTAAAAATCTATTCAGTGCAAAAATAAATTTTTAAAAAATTATTAAAAGTCTAAAAACAAAATTAATAAAAAGCTTTACATTAATGAATATAAAAATTTCTGCAACATACTGCAAACAAAACTTAGAGAAAGTAAGAAAAACTAATTTAAAAAATAATTCAATGTAAATAGTAAAGATATAAAAGCAACCCAGAAAGACATCTTTAATATAGTCAATATTAAACATAGCTAATTATATTAATAAATATTAAACATAGCTACTCTAATTAGAGCTATGTGCTGGTTCTAACACAAGCTAACACAATGCTAACTATATATGCTAAAACAATACAACAATAACAAATCCCACCATATCTGCAACATCTTTAACAACTATTTCATTTAAATTGTTACAGACTTACAAGCAAAAAATCTTCAATTTAAGAGTCATTATACAGACTACATAATGAATAAGGTTGAGCGATTTTCATAGCAAAAAAAAAAAAAGATTAAAAATAAATATTCTATTTCTCCTTTTTATTATGTTTGTTTATGGTCACTCTCCATAATTTAGCTCTGTTATAAGGGAGTGAAACATCCGGTATATAGAGTATTGTACGATTTTTATTTACACAAACAAAATTTATCTCAAGTAAATTTATTATTGTTGTTATTGTTGTTGTAATTGTTGTATAAACACCATAGAAATTGTAAATTCCCTAATAAACTAGTAACTATAAAACCCAAAAATAAACTAGCAACTATAAGAGCATTAAACAAATTATTTAAAAAGTAAAAAAGTAATTTACAAATTAGTATTCATAAAAAAAAACACACTTTAGTTGTGTCTAATCTTTCAGTCCACGATTTAAATACTGTTTTCCCCGAACCATCTACAGCTTCGTTCAAGCACTGCAACTTATCTTTATCTATTTTGTTATATAACGAATAAACAGTTGATAAGTCTTCTTCGTCAGAACAAAAGTGCTCATGTTGACCGTGTCTACATGATCCAGACATAGCGCTTTTTCTTATCCTACGACACTTAAAAATATCAATTTAGTTGATATTTTCATAACAAAAACGAAAAAAGTTCTCGGTTCCTTAAAGTTCTCGGTAGCTTATGGAACATAAGCATACCGAGAAGTTTACCTTCGTAGCTTATGGAACATAAGCTTATGGAACATAAGCTACCGAGAACTTTAGAAATGTTTTTCTCGCGTGCTAAATAAAAGGTGGGGACGGGGGAGGAGGTAAATAAAAGAGGGGTAGGTGGGAAATTTTGTTCAAATTGAATAAACGGGGAAAGGATGGGTCTTAATAAAAGGGTGCGTCAGAACTTTTTACAAAACAATTTAATTCTCGTGTGGCTTGCGGTCAAATTAACAGCGCTTTTTTTAACAGCTATTTTATCATAAATTCAATAAGATCTAATACGCTTATATAAGTTTTATACAATGGTGTTGAGTAAACTTTTTAGGTTTACGTTGTCGGCGATTTTTAAAGTCTGATTACACTAAAAATTTTTATTCTTATCAGTGACTGATTAGATATTTCCTAACTTTTAATAGTAATCTAATAACACTAGTATTTTTACACATACACACACTCACACGCACACACTCACTCACACACACACACACACACACACACACACACACACAAACACACACACACACACACACACACACACTTATATACATACTTATATATTAAAACGTCTTAGCTATATTTATTTAGGAAGAAGTGAATAAGGTTGCTTTTAAAAACATAGTTTGACTAGAGAGCTTTTAGATCATTGAGAAGGTTATTCCAAGATTTTATACTTTATGATATTTTATGTACTTAAGTCCGTAAGTAGCAGAACGATGTTTCAAGACAGGTAGGTTTAAATTAATGGATTGAAGAAAGTAACGGTTATTTGTACTTTTTGGGAAAAAGTTATTAAAGGTAAGAGGTAGATTTTTGTATCAATAATTCCAGACAAACAGGCAATTTAAAAGTTGTATATGGTCACAAAGTTTAAAAATCATAGAAGTAAGATAAAGCATATTAAAGTTGAACTTGTGATTATGAAAACATATTATCTTTAATGTCTTGTTTTGATGATGCGGTGTTGCTATTGTCTCATATTTGACAAGCATATTGTATATGAGAGCCAAAAATGACATGGCATATATTTAAGAGTGTTTCCAGATTGACATAATGGCCAGCATTCCATTTGATCTGCTTTATTTCATGGCTAAATTATTTTCATGACTAAGATAGGATACAAACAAAAGGTTGAAGTTAAAGAAATTTTAATACCAAGATATTTCATTGAGTTTACAGCATGGCATCTACATTCTAAAACAGAGCCCTATGCTGGGCCCTTTTTTTTTTGTGTGGAAAAATTTTTTTTTCCCGCAAAATATTTGTTCGAAAATATTTTTTCTTATTATTTTCAGTATGTAATATGGCAAGATGATTTACGCAATTTTGATAGGTTGCGTTTTTTTTGACATAACTTTAATTTATTTTCTAGTTTGCTAAATTATCTTTTTGCTGATTTACTGGAATTGTACAACACAGTTTAATTTTCAGACAGATTTTGGTAAAAATGCCTTAAAGTTGTTTGTCCAAAATTGAATTTAGAAGACAAAGGGGAGAACTTTTAATACCAAAAACTGTTTTGTAAAAACTTTTCAAATGAAGTATTTTACTAATTAAGTCTTCTGACAGTTCTTTCTTGTATGCATTTACAAGTTTGGCCGCGTTTAAATTTAGGTCTACATCCTCATATTTCTTCAAATTCAAAATGGGTAAGAATAAATTACATATTGCATTGGCTTCTTCAAATCGTGTGCTCAAATCATTAATTATAAAATCCAACACTGGGATTTTATAATTAATGATTTTTTTGATTAATGATTTTATAATTAATGAACTACAGAAATGTTTAAACCTTGATCTGGTTCTGTAAAATAATTTTTTTTTGTAGGAAATTGAGCTTGTATTCCAATGACTTCTTCAACAACTTTTGCCTCTTAAACAATACTATCCTATGAGTCACGTATGTGAGTTATCTCCTTGACCAAATCTTGGATAAAGGCTGTTTCAACATCAAGGGATACTCCTTTGCTTTGTATGATGACGTTCTTATTATCAACAGTTGCTAGTATTTTGTGCAAAAAACTAGTCATAAGTAGACCTTTATAATTTCTGAAGTATTTTTTCGAACCTTTTGCTATGTTGAAGCTTATGATGAAGGTGTTAGTTCTAAAACATTTCCCTGGAGAAGAACATCTAACACAGCGAGTACGCCAGTATAATGTTTGGCGATTGATTGAATGACTTGAATTCTTTCATTCCACCTTGTTTCTGAAAGACTTTGAAGAGATAATGGCATGTGTTTTTTCAACACATCTCATTGAGCAGGACTCTGAGAGAACAAGCAGTAGAAGCTTTTTATGCTTTCTAAAAAGATTATTACATCAGGATTTAATTTTGCTGCATTGACTCCTACGTGGTTTAATGAATGGGCTCCACATGGAGAAAATAAGGCACACTGTTTTTTTTTTTAAGATGTGGACCTTAACACCATTTGTTTTACCACACATATTTGAACCATTGTCATAACCTTGTGAACGACAATCTTGAAGTGGTATGTTGTATCTTTCTAGAGTAACAAGTATTTCTTCTGTTATTTTTTCTCCTGTTTTCCCGTTAAAGTTCTTAAACTCTATTAAACGCTCGGTTACTTCAAATACCTTTGTATCCGTATTTTGTGATACATACCTTAGAATAAGAACATTTTTTTCGATGTGTAAAATTTCTGGAGTTTCATCAACTATCAATCCATAAAAGAATGCATCTTTTCTTTGATCTAGAATAGTTTGTAGAACTTTGTCTGAACATAACTTGATAAACTCAATTTGAGAGTACCAAGACAAATAATGTGGTTTTCCCTTCATTCTTTTCGATTCTAACTGACTTTGTTTTGCTTAGGCAAGATGTTACTGTGTCACTTAATTATAATTTCCAATCAATTCTAAGATACCTAAAAAATGCCATTATGAACATCCCAAATTATTGTTTTTTCTCCTTGAAATGCTATACCTCTAGATGATAAAAATAATGTGGTATCTATAATCCCTTTCAGGGTTAATTTCCACTTATTTCTCGCACATTGTATTTGGAGCAATAATTGCTATTTCATTTTATTGACTCCAAAAGGACTTTCCATGCTAAAAACTGTTTTCAATGTTCAGCACTAACTTCTTGTTTGGGAAAAAATTATGCAACTTTTTCTATAATGTCTTTTTAGAGGAAAATCCTTCACAGGCTAAACTGCTTAAATTGGAATTATTTTGATTACAAAAAATATGGCATGGTAGGCAATAAAGTTTTTCTTTTGTTCAACTCCATGCTAACTATTTTCTTGGAAAATGATCTCGTGTTCGTTCATCTTTCATTTTTGTAAACAACAAAGATTCATAAAACTTTCTTCCATTTAGATTTTTTGGTAATTTTTTATATACATATTTAATATATATCTGTCTAGCTTTCCCAAAGCTGTAAGATGTTACTATACATTGGCATCGTCCATCTGAAATCAATTTGGGGCATGTACCAGAGTCATCAAGAATTATCTCAGTGTTTTTGACTACGTTATAATCAGCATTTAATTCTTTTTCTGCCATCATTAGACTTACCTCTGCTACAGTTATGCTCTCTGCAATCCTCAAATTTATCATGAGAAGAATTTTCGTTTCCATAATGGAAAAATTTGGTTATTAATTGACTACCAAGAGATTCTTTTGCTCTTATCTCATTTTTAAATTTTCTTTTTTGAGCTCCAGATTTATGTTTGTAATTTGAGTTTGATATGGTGTTTGAATAACTTGACAATCTGAAAAAATAGTTTTTCTTTTGACACTATTTTAATCCTGAACAACAAATGCATCTTTTAAGGAAGTAAAGTTTAGTTTTGGAACATCAGAATCATAATATTTTTAAATGATATATATGTCTGAACTCAAATAACTTCAAAATAAACTATTTTCCTTTATTAGTTTATTGATCAACCAGTGGCGTAAATATAAATTTGGACCCTACCGCCAAAAAAGTAAAGGGGGCCCCTTTACTTATTTACTTTACTTTAAGTTTTTTCAACGTTTAGAAATTCTAAACGTTCTAAATTAGAATGTAACTTTTAAAAAAAAAATGCCCGTAGGGATATGTGAAAAATTATAAATTCATAAAATGTATTTGATAAAACAGAAATTAGTAACACTCATATTATTATTACCAGTCATATTATTCATATGAACAAAATTTGTAAATCTCCGCGGGGCCCTCTAAGCTCCGGGACCCCCCGCCTTGCGGGGTTATGCTCAACCCTAGTTACGCCACTGATTTCAACTAATGTAAAATGTTTAACCTGAAAGATGATCGACCAAATTAACGAAGAAAAACTATATGAGAAACTATATACTATATAAGAAAAACTATATAAGAAAAATGCGGGAATTAGTATACACAGCGGTCCGCATAGTAGTTTTAAGACCATAGCGATCTTAAGTGCAAATATAAATGATTAAAAAGTAGAAAACAAAAATAAATCTATTTGTTTTCTACTTTTTAATTTTAGACAATGTTTTTGGTTTAAAAGATTTTCTTTTCTTTTCACATTTATTAATTCAAAACAACATTATTTTACTCGAATTTACTATTTTTCCATTACTACCACCTACCAACTAACACCTACCTGCAACTACGGTTATTACCACCTACCACCTATCACTGGGGTCCTCTTTACTTCTGGGTCCCAATGCTACAGTACCTCCATCCACCCCCCTTATGGGACAACTTTCATTGATTTTTGATTTATTGGATTTTAATATAACCAGTTTTTCTAACAGTTGAGAGAAGACTTATTTTAACAAAGCCACTGAACTAGATTGGCAAGATCATGGTTAATGTGTTTGTTATTTTTTTTTATCAATCAAAGTATCAATACTTTTCAAAACACCTCGAACGAGTAATTTATAAAAGAATTTATAATTGCTTCACAAAAAACACTTTTTTATGACTAAATTAGTTAAGTTGGCCATACACTATAATTCAGAAAGTTAAATGAGAAAAATACTTCTCAAA